ATATATAGCTTTAAAGTGCACCAGAACTACTTACTTTCGATGCCTCTGCTTTCAAAGTCCTTGCCGTGTGCCATGTGGTACAAGTAAGAATTGTTGAGCAGAGCCTGCAGGAAAAAAAGTAACCAACTCAGCTACAGAAGAGAAAACAGCACTTCCTGCATTTTCAGACACCCCCCCCACCCAAAAATAAATAAATAAATAAATAAAATCAGACTGAAAAGTATCTATATCATTTTCCTTTAAAAAGCTGTTCAGTTGTTCTGCTACGAACTCCTCAATGATCTTTGATAAAAATGGTAGTTTGGATCTGTAGCTGTGAGGCACAGAAGAGGGCAGACCTGTAGAAACTACAGGACTGTTTGTACTTTTCACTGGTTTTACAGGCAAATCATTTGCATTTATACATCACACACTCCCAATTTGATAGGTTTTCATTGTATTATAGTTAACAAAAACTTGGACTAAATTACTGTGCAATCATTTTGAGTTGTTGCTCATTTCTTTAGTTTTTCCCACCAAAAAGACCGATTCTGGGAGCATTGGGATAGTATATAACATCTGAGCACTGATCTATTTTAAACAATAATAAGTCAGAAAATTTTATTCTTAGGAAAGAAATTCTGGAATCACTTATTCTCAAAACTTTCTAAAACCTGATAGTCCACACAACAAAACGTAAAACAAATACAAAAAAAATCATTAAATAAAACAGATGGGAACGAAATCAGGCATAAAACCTAGAATAAAAACAAGTCCAACATGAACAGATGAGCTCAACACAGCAAGATGTTGTCTGGTTTCAGATATCTGGCCTTTAGGGGCAGTTATTAGGGACTCAACCAAATCCAGTTTATCCTTTCATATCATAATCTAAACAAACTAATAACTTTATTCTAAGAACAAGAAGCTCACAGTTCAGTTTGTTACCTTTGAGGGGATGCAGCCAACATTTAGACATGTCCCACCGAGTGTTTCATTTTTCTCAACACAGACTGTCTGTCAAAGGAAATAAAAATGTTAGAGTCAACAACTTTGTTTTAGAAAACCTATCTATCTATCTATCTATCTATCTATCATCTATCTATCTATCTATCTATCTATCTATCTATCCTAAATGTTGTTTCAACAAAATAAAAGGTTCAAAACTGACAGTAAGTTTAGCCAACTCATGTCTTACCTTAAAGCCAAGCTGTGCAGCTTTGATGGCAGCTACATACCCGCCTGGACCAGAACCCACCACTGTGACGTCTGCATCAACTGCAAACAGGTAAGTTCTTAACGCATCACATCAGAACAGCACACAGGTCAGAAGAATAAAGTGCAACAAAAGCATGGTTGACTTCTAGCATGAAGGAATCAAAATGTAAGCTCCGGTCTTTAGACTTCATGTCTGAAGAACCAAGAGGAACAACTTCTTGTAGTTTAGTTTATAATGGGATTCATTTGAGGGTTAGCTCCAACAATACTTTTACTGTTTAATAGGACCCTATGAAGGAACATTCAGGAAATGGTCTTAAAACAACTCATTTTCCTGACAAGCCACACAGCAACAGCTCAGTCTGAGTGGAGTCATCCCACCACATACTCTGGCCGTAACATCTTATAATCACATGACTTTGAGCATAATGTTACTGTCAATGCTTGACAATGACTTTTATCAAGATGATCTTAATCTAAAACACAGCAGGTCAAATGCATTCCTTCAAGGAATAGTGGGCCCATTTAATTTTTGCAACAAACATTAACTAAATCAATTTTAAAAAATCTAATTATTATTTCATGTCGATGCCATGAGAAAAATTAAAACGGGAACTCTGGAGTTCAGTACCCTGACACTGTAAGTGGCACCTGCTGCACTGAACACCGTGTTTGGAAGTACTTTGGCTTCTGTGAAGGGATGAATAATTCACTCTGGGTTTCATCTGAAGTGTTATACGGATGCATCAATAACCGTTTCATAATCTCATCACAGCCCTGTGAGTTTCAATCAAATGAAGAGGAGCCTAAAGATCCCAGCCCGACTAAAGAATGATCATATTTAAACTGGACTTACTTTCTGCTTTGTTGGCGTAGGTCCTCACAGACACAGCTGCAGCTCTGTGCAGCTTGCAGGGGAGATGGTGGCTCCGCTGTGAAGCAAATTCAGCAGTTAGTTTAAAAACACTGTAACTAAACATATCAAAAGAACAAACAAACCATGCACCAATATGTTATGTTCTTTTTACATTAGATTGTTTAATGAAACTGAGCTGGAAAAATCTCCAATGATAAAACTTATTAATGTCCTTAAACTGGTTGTTAAATGCGATAAATACATTATAATATTATATAAGTTAAAATACAGTTAGTATTTCTCTATAAACGGTAATACGTTTGTTGTTAACCTTTCCCTTTTCTTTTTGCAGAGGACTCTTATAAGTGTAAAAATACCACATATGCCCATTTTTCCAAGATGAACCTGTGTTTATTTTGTGCCAGTATAAGGAGATCACCTCCACATGACACAAACAGCTCAGGCAGCTCGGATCTGGAATTTCAACATAAATGTTTGTGTCACATTGTTTGTGTAAACAAAGATCTGGTTTGACACCTACAAATTGAAGGCTGACTTGATTACAGACAATGAACGTGTCAACATCTGCGGGGTATTTATTTAAACCAATTACCAAATGTGGCAAATTGCAAATATCATAAATCCTCCAAATCAAAGTTGATGTCCCTAACTGTGTTTAACTTGGCTTCTTTTCATGAGATTTCCTGTGACTAAACACCACACATAATTCTGTTGACATCTTGGCACTTCAAATTAGCTACAAACTGTACAATGTTTTAAAACTTAATGAAAACGTACTAGATAAAGTTAAAATAAGACGTGACAAAGTTCTAAGTTAAAAAGACAACCTTTGTAAAGTGGGATATAAGTTTAACTGACGCCGGGAGAAGCTAGCTGATCCGCTAGCAGCCCAGCCCACTGCTCATATACAAACATACAAGTTTATGTTAGAAAGTGAATGAGACCAGTATGAAACCTGACAACTCGTCCTGCTTTCTGGGAAAATAATAATAATATCCTTACCGAAGCCACGGAGCGGTAAAGCTGCGTCCAGCTCTGCATTTTATCACCGTCCCTAAAGGCTGACAGTAACCTACAGGAAGCCGACCAACCAAGGACTCCTGCCACTGCGCATGCGCAGTATCAGTCCAGACACGTCGCTTTTATATGACGTATAGCAGTTTTATTCAATTACAAAACAGAGAATTCCTAAAACATTTTTGATGAATGTTCCTTTACTTATGTTAATATGTTGTTTGGATTCTTCTCTTATCCAATTAATAAAACTAAACATTTTTATATTATCAACTTAAGTCTATAAAATGCAAAGCATATATA